CCCCAAAACCCCAAAACCCCAAAACCCCAAAACCCCTAGGAAAGTTTGTGATATTGTGATATTATATTATAAAGAGGATATAATGGAAAGTCAGCCTAAGGAAGGAGAGGAAATGCTTATTGGAAAGCAAGAGGAAGAGTTGCAATCATTACTTATGGGAGAAATTGAGCTTCCAAAGGAGACTGTTTTGGTTCACAATAAAAGAGCACGGTAAGAATAAATCTAGCTGAATAGGGTTTTAGAAGTTTATTCTATTTAGGCTTTCCCATGGAGCTGTATTGGACAATTATAAGACAAATCAAATCACATTCAATCAAAAACAAATCATAATATTTTCAAAAGATGCTTCGATGCTTAAAGAGAGCTCAACCAAATGAAGAGAAAATAATAAAGCCATCAAACTGCTCGAATGATCTAGAGTTATTAAGAAAGTTTATGAATTAGAAATTGAGCTTTGTAGATCATCCATTGTTAAAAACTGCTTTCTAATAAACCTGTGAAAAGCAATCTCCAAGCCTATAACAACATTGTCCTTGAAATACTTTAAATTTACTAGCAATACTCTGGCTAAGGTATTCGGAAGCATAACTCATGTGCAAGTACTGACACTATCTCAATGCGAGTTCCAAGATTCAGAGGAAATTCCACAATTATCTAAAAAGTAGGTCTTATAGAGGTTTTAATCAAAAGATATGGCTTAATAATTATTCTCAGTTTAAAATCCATAGAGTCTTATCTTCCATTGCTCTAAAATAGAAATTAATCCTGAAATTATTTGAACTTATTGCCTAATTTGAGAATATTACCTTTATTGCTTTCAGTTCATTCCACATTTCAAGATCCATTAGCTTTAAGACTAAATCAATTCAAAGAAAAAGATTAGCATTCTCAAATTCATATATTATTACTTTTTTTAACCTCATTGATCGCCTTCAAGCATCGATGTTACTAAAGTTTGATGCAAATTTCAATAAAATAATAAAACAGGGGTCTCAGAACCAGAATAAACCAAGCATTTATAATTAGAATGCTGAGCTTACAATAGGTTACAAGAAAGATATCTCAAGCGATATATTTAAAATTTGAGTCCTACTTTTTAATCTTAGAACTTAAATAAAGATAATAGATGGAAAATAAATGATTTCCTTGACTCACATCTGAAGATCTTAGGGCTGCCTAAGCTAGTATATATCCCAAATATTATCCTTACAGCGTAAAAGTAACTATCATATGTTCAGTATTTCTCTTTGGAATAACCTAAATTAATCACAAATCTCTTTCTTTCCAAAATTTCCATAAAATATGGGCACTAAATACCAAGAGCACTTTTGATATTAACATAATTTTTAATGAACCCAAAAACTGTTAATGTAGCAAAGTCTGGTAGAATAATTGGTCTAGTTCTCTCACTTAATATTCAATAACCCTATTGACCAAAATATTGGATCCCAAAACTATATGTCAAAAGGAGTAATTCCCTTCAATTTTTAGTAAGTATAAGTCCTTGAGGAAACATCAGATAAGACTGTGCTTGACTACCTTTGTTGGCATGGTAGGTACCAAGCAGACTTAAATGTGTGGTGTTACATATGAAAAATTAGATAATTCCTTTAGATTAATAACCCAGAAAGATACCCCTGTAGCTGTATAAGATTTTAATCATGAAAGGTTTGGAATCCAGAAATCTTTAGTGAGATTAGAAGATTAGCAGCCTTTACTGCCATTGTGAGATGTTCTGTTATTTACTTTCGATCTTTTGTGAAAATGAGAGCTGGCTTATTGATCTCTATGAATGTCAAAGAATTCAACTAACTTCTTTCAAATTAGGTGGTGATTATAAAAGAGCTCTACATTTTTGGATTGAAGAAAGCATGATCATCTGACACAACTGCACTTAATCATGAGCTTATTTTCCTTCTGAGAACGATCGGGGAGACTTCCCTAAGAGACTCATTAAATTCAATATACTTACATACACATCTACAACGAGAAGAGCTAGAGGTTTTGTCAAAGATTTTACCAGTGGAATCAATATCCGTAACAGGAATTGCTGGCAAGTAACCACATATGATGAAACCCAGTTAAAGACATCTAAAGTAGCTTTTAAGCTTATTTCGATTCTAGATTAGGCTCGGAAATTTTGGGTGATTAGCGGGTTCTAGGTCAGACTTTTTGGTCATGAGGTGCAGAGGATAAGTGAAGGGGGACTCAGAGAGTTTAAGGAAATTGATGGTATAGAAAGAGGGTTTTGATGTGTAGGGAGTAGAGAGGAATTATCTCTGTTTGTATGATGAAAATTAGGGTTTCTCTATGTTAACTCTTCCCTATTTGTATCTATTCAATCTCTAGTCCTTTAAAAGGGGTTTTGGGGTTTTGGGGTTTTGGGG